TAAAGTCAGTGCCGGATCAGCCGGGCTGTGGCTCGTACGTCGGACTGCGTGCGGCCAGCAGTAACAGCCTAGTTGATCAGGCCCTGATCCATCGGGAGGCCTGGTCATGGACCGGGCCGCGGGGGCGTTGATCCCCGGAATAACCTCCAGGTAACCTCCAGGTATAAGCACCGTCACTTTCCCTTCTCTTACACAAGAGCACACACCACTTAAGTCCTTCCTCTTCCTCTCTAGCCCTCTGTACCACCTGTGCAACAATAGCAGAGATTTACCAGGTTAATTGTAGTATTGTGTAGTGTTGTATGGAAAGGAAAATAATTTCGATTGTTCCTCACAAACCCCTTCCCTCTCGTAAATTATGCTTCCACCGTGACATGAGATTTAAAAGTATTTTATAGGCATTTTAAACGATGGTGATATTGGCGACACATACCAATACACATTACACGAACACTCCCCATAACTGGCACGTATTTGCGTGCAAGAGCTCACTTGTGCACGCACAACACAGATGTGCCCTCATACCTGAGAGACGGTCCCCAGGTACACAGGGCACAAATGAAAGCTCAAAATACAAACGAGTCACAGGGATGAACGCCAGTCACCTCATGGACAAGACCCGGGCCAGGACTATTACGATGGTTCACACTCGAACTCTAATAGGGATGTCAGGAATTACTTCCTTAGTCTTATAGGAGTCGGGAAGTGGAACGATCTTGACAAAAACGTGTTTAATGCATAATCTATACATAGTTTTAATAGGAATGACTGAGCTCACGCAGCCAGAAGAGAATGAACCAAGTAAAGGGTAGCAGAGGTCGGACCAGGAGAAAAGACTCAACCCCTGCAATCACAAATAGGCGAGTACATCAGATACAGCGGGACCCAAATGTCACCATGGATTCTGCGAGAGAAAGGATTGGGGAGGGGAAGAAGTAGTCTGAACTATTAGTTGAAATCTACAATTCAATTGATACGGGTCAATTGTCAGATCTGGAAAACGGCCAATGTCGTCCCAGTATTTACGGTGAAACAGGAAGAGTTAAACTATATTCCAGTATCACTGACATGAATACTAATTAAAGTAATGGAGAGAAGATAATCGGGAGAGTGGAACACCTGAACAGAAGTACAGCATTTTCATAAAGAATGACCAGTAAGGGTTTAGAGATGGCAAACCTTGTCTCACAAGGTTCTTCGAGAGAAATGAGGCAGGAGAGGAACGGCTGGATTGCATGTTCATGGATTGCAAGAAAACATTTTATATTGTACCTCACAAGAGATTGAAAACCTTCACGAGCAGGCAAAAACAACAAAAAAAAATCGATATACGAGAATGGTATACCAGAAGAAACAGAATTAGATGTATTCTTGTCTGCAGATGATTTCAAATTAACGAGAAAACCTAACGATAATGAAAGAATACAAAGGCCCTGGACAAACTGAAGTTCATTAATTTCAATCGAGCTTGATGAAAGGGTGGACAGGGATTAACAGAGGCAGGACACGGGTATACGGAGCTACTGTTGGAAGTTAAGACAGGAGTCGCGGGGTTGTCAGGAAGTTTCCTTAGCCTGAGGATGGTCTTTAAACAGTATATATCGACAAGATAATGGAGACAAAGCTTCAAGACTAGTTATGACAAGGCCCACGAGGCAGAGTAAACCCAGCAAGCGGCAAGTTAAGAGGGACCAAGAGCAGAGGTTTGATTTTTAAAACCACAAGGAGAGTACAATTGGGTGTGGATGCGCGCTGACACACACACAAAAAAGTTTGTCAAGACTCTCCCTTAACATTACCCATAAGGCATTCATGCCACTTCGGAATCGCCAAAATGACATTCGTATATTTGGAAAGACTGAATTTTATTATTTTTCTAAAACTCTAGAACACTGTACTACTTTTTATTCCTGGCTTAAGACTGACAACTGGCTTTTAGAATTTATTTTATTATAAAAACAAATTGTATTTATTATAAAAACTGGTTACACAGCATTGTGCGGCAACCCTGAACTATATGACATTTTACAAAATTGGAGCAAGAACCAAGTTTGTCAAAGAAAGAACAATGCCCAGACAAGAAAATTACTCCATGATTTATTAGTTATAAAACGAGATTACATACCAAAAAGTAATGAAATCTGAAATTTCTCGAATCTTTATACTTGAGGAAATTTTGGAATTCAAGTTCCCAATTTGCACACACACACACACACACACACACACACACACACACACACACACACACACACACACACACACACACACACACACACACACACACATGACGGAAGGAATAGACTCTGAGATGTCCCTGTTTGCAGATGACGTGAAGTTGATGAGAAGAATTCACTCGATCGAAGACCAGGCAGAACTACAAAGGGAACTGGACAGGCTGCAGACCTGGTCCAGCAATTGGCTCCTGGAGTTCAACCCCACCAAGTGCAAAGTCATGAAGATTGGGGAAGGGCAAAGAAGACCGCAGACGGAGTACAGTCTAGGGGGGCCAGAGACTACAAACCTCACTCAAGGAAAAAGATCTTGGGGTGAGTATAACACCAGGCACATCTCCTGAAGCGCACATCAACCAAATAACTGCTGCAGCATATGGGCGCCTAGCAAACCTCAGAACAGCATTCCGACATCTTAATAAGGAATCATTCAGGACCCTGTACACCGTGTACGTTAGGCCCATATTGGAGTATGCGGCACCAGTTTGGAACCCACACCTAGCCAAGCACGTAAAGAAACTAGAGAAAGTGCAAAGGTTTGCAACAAGACTAGTCCCAAAGCTAAGAGGTATGTCCTACGAGGAGAGGTTAAGGGAAATCAACCTGACGACACTGGAGGACAGGAGAGATAGGGGGGACATGATAACGACATACAAAATACTGAGAGGAATTGACAAGGTGGACAAAGACAGGATGTTCCAGAGATTGGACACAGTAACAAGGAGACACAGTTGGAAGCTGAAGACACAGATGAATCACAGGGATGTTAGGAAGTATTTCTTCAGCCACAGAGTAGTCAGTAAGTGGAATAGTTTGGGAAGTGATGTAGTGGAGGCAGGATCCATACATAGCTTTAAGCAGAGGTATGATAAAGCTCACGGCTCAGGGAGAGTGACCTAGTAGCGATCAGTGAAGAGGCGGGGCCAGGAGCTCGGACTCGACCCCCGCAACCTCAACTAGGTGAGTACAACTAGGTGAGTACACACACACACACACACACACACACACACACACACACACACACACACACACACACACACACACACTAGACGGTGGAAGGTGTGGACGAGGCATGTAAAACGTTGGGCATGCCATTAACAGAAAATTAATTTACTACTGTATTACGAAACAGGCAGGCCTGGTGAAAAATGTAATACTGTAAAGGACATGAATAAATTCACGAAATATGTAGTTTAGATATCGATAATCTATGATGAACAGATCCTTCAAGGACCCCCAATAGAAATAAGTTACTGACTTTTTGGTTTATCCTACGTAATCTGCACATTACTGTAGCTACCTGGAGGGCATTCTGGGGACCAACGCTCCTGCGGCCCGGTCCATGACCAGGCCGCCTGGTGGATCAGGGCCTATCAACCAGGCCGTTACTGTTGGCCGCACGTAGTCCAACGTAAGAACCACAGCCTGATTGATCTGGCACTGACTTTTGGTATCTGTCCAGCTCCCTCTGCATGATAATTTAAATAATCCAAAGATTGTGTACGTGTGCCTGAATTAACTTATGTTGTGCAACTATACATTTTCACAAGGTTCTCAGCAACTAAACGTTGGCCAAGGTCGTAAATGCTACAACAGTGACCGATTTATATTATTATAATCAAAAAGAAGCGCTAAACCTACAAGGTTCACACAACGCACGAACAATTTGTAGAATAAAAACACTGTCCACCTCAAAAAAATGAAACGTACATTTCCTTCTTAACTAAAGTGCATTTACTAAATCCAAAATGATAAATATTAAGCTAGTCTTGAATACGTAAGTTTATTCAGGTATGCACAAATAGTTATAGGTTATCATACATAGCAGCATATTCAAATTCAAATTCAAAGTTTATTCTCTATAAGGATTACAATGCTGAGTTTACAGAAATTTGGTTATTGTTTGGTTTACATGTAGTAAAATTGTGATTACAGTGTACCACTAGAACGCTTAGCATGGCTAGGCATTTCGGGCATACTTAGTTTTATTCTTAATTGTAAAATATTACAGTGTAGACAACATATTATGTGTAGAGAACATAGGATAGCCCCCAAAAAATGTAAAAAAATGACATTTCCAGGTATACAATGATACACGTCGAGTTAGGCCTTGAATGATACATGTTAAGATCTAGAATGACACGTACCATTCTAGAGAATGTCAACTAGGTTCAGAATGGTGCATGTAACTAGGTCTAGAATGTTAGCCAAGTCTTGAATAATTAAAAGGTTAATGTAGGGAAATCCTGATTCTCCACACCCTATCCTAGGGCGTAGAATGACCAGGAAATAATGACAGCTTGCCCAGGCTAACTAGTCTGCCTCAAACAAGTACATGACATTTCTTGGCACACTGAAATAATCTTTGATAATTAATATTAGTTCTCAAATGTTACATCTGCGATCTCATCCAAGAATAAGAATCTTTATTACCATCATACAGAAGATCGCAAAGTAACAAATTATGTCCAACACCTGAATACTTCTAGCAGGACTGGAATTTTCTTACACATTCCACTTTTGCCCAGGAAATGACAGTTTTAATTTTAAATTAAAACTGGATGTTTCGGCCCGTGTTGATTATACTTTCTTGTTCTGAGTGCAAATGCACTCAGGATGCGATCCCAACTTGAGCTCACTAGTTAAATAATGAGTTACGCTACTGAATTGCATTAGCTACAATATGTACAATACCTTAAAAGTACCTGAAGATGAACATACATAAGGTACATCCACTACAGCTACATGACATCGTGTGATTGTACTTACGAATTTGAATCCAAGAAGCGAGGAATCAAATGCAAGCAACAAATGTATATCTTCTTGTGGGTTTTCCAGGAAGTGTACCAGATTACACGCACTAACTGAACAAAATCTCAAACACTACTGGTTGGTCCCACATGCTGGAGCTGCGTCCTCTTACCTCTTACCCGCGGCGGTCACTGTTGCCTCTCTCACTGCTCTAAGTTAATTCTTGCTACTTACTCTCTCTCGTTTGACACGTTTTTATATATGTGTCAAGTCTCAGATGTGGGTTTTATTATTATTTCTAGCTCAAATTTATATATGTAAGTAATTCCCATTGATATTTAAGAATTAAATAATAATATGACGAACTCCCAACTTGTATATACCGTTGTCAAAACTCTTGTATGTACCTTATTTGTCTTAATCAAGAAAGCACTGAAGTATTTTTATTGTTATTTGGGTTGCTATATTTATCAACTAATAAAATATTATAAACGTTTCGCTTGTCATGGTTCTATACAATCGTAAAAATGTGTAAAAATGGTTTGCAGGTAGATAGCTTGTTACTGAATGGCAGCGTGTGGAAGGTGGTCCTCGGGTTGCCAGACGGGGAGGCTGAGATGAGCGTCAAAATATTCCTCGCATCTATGAACAATTTGAGCTCAGCAGATAATGCAGCGAAACCACTGTACGACAACCACCCTGCGTAATGACACCATTATGCCTAACTAAGCACAGTTATAGTCAGTGACATCAGTCATCAACAGAACGTAAAGAAAACAACCAATATCCTTGGAGACCTGCATCAGCAAATCACAACGGATGGGGTTGAAACCGTTCCGTGATATGCTTGCAATTGTGTTAGTGAGTGTTCGTGCTGCAAAAGCACTTTGATAATACTCTAAAATCATGTAGGGATTTTGCATGGATGAGATATATACTAATACCAGAGTTATAAATCTAGGATAGCCCAAGAAAGCCAAGTAGTGTGGCTTATTTCCATGAGGGCTCTTTGGTTTCCTTGCCCAAAGTGACCCTTAACAGTTAGGTAACATGAAAGTACCTATTTACTACTATCTAAGCAGGGGTATCGAGTGATTCATTCGTCCCCACTCTCCCTAATTGAACCCGGGTCCTTCAGTTGTGCGGCGAACACATTCATCATGAGAAACCATCTTTTCAAACAGCTCTTTTTTTTTGTTTTGTGAAATTTTTCTTGACGCAGGCCTTAGCTATAACATGACTTGCTCAGTGAGTAACCCCTGGCGTACCCGTGCGAGGTATCCGCCTCGATAAAAAAAATCACATAAGGGTTCTGAAACCTCTGTAGGTGCAAAAACCTGTGCTAACTACAGCTTCTCATGATAAAGTTTTTGTGTTTTATTAGCATCAAATTAGGTTTCATCGCTGTTTTCAGATACCTTATATACCTAACACCAGCGTACAACGATTCAGTTACTTTCATAGATTTATTATACACTTAATACTCATACACAAAAGATTACAAGGTCACATCGCAGAGACTGGGCACCAGTTCCAACAGGACTGAAGCTAAGACATGTTGCTCAATAAGGCTTTGTTGAGACAGTGTTTCACTCTGAAAGAAGCTTACCAAGTTAATAATTTGATAAAGCTCTACACTTAGCGAAACGTTGTCCCAATAAACTTGTCTTTTCTTCAGTATTGTCGGCAGTAGAACGACATTTGAATCCAGCAAGTCTAGAATTGTTTACGATTTAGCATTTTTCTCTGGGATAATGACTTCCAGCAGTGCGGCCAGCAGTAACAGCCTGGTTGATCAGACCCTAATCCACCATGAGGCCTCGTCTCAGACCGAGCCGCGGGGGCGTTGACCCCCGAAACCCTCTCCAGGTAAACTCTAGGGCATAATTAAGTTTGACATATATTTGAACTAATTTTTTTCCAGGAGGCTACGCACACTGCCGACTACAAAACAGAAGTTCTCAGTCCCGTGACTACTGTAAGGTACCGTGCCTAATAGCTCACTAGGCACAGCCGAAAGGACCCGGTTTATCTTGCAATAGGATTTGTCGGCTGTCTCCCTAACTGGAGGTCGATCCGAGGGCTGCATCCTGGGAAAGGACGTAAAGGATACCAATAGAAACTGGCCACATTGCTTGACTTTCTTGGGTTATAATGGATTATTAACCCTCCGGGGTTAATAATCCGAATATAGCATTTTTCGTCCGATACTGTAAGGCCGAGAGCCTCACCTTGAGTTCTGTGATGAATGAGGGATTAGAGATGGTGAAATAATAATAATAATAATAATAATAATAATAATAATAATAATAATAATAATAATAATAATAATAATAATAAATACAAAGGATGGTTCCGACTTTTCAAGAAAATAATAGATTTCCCCCTCCTTGGCCTCCTTTCTCTGAGATGATTCACTAATTAGGTCCGCATCCCCACTGGAGTCCCACTTAGTGAGCGATCTCACTCTTGTACGTCTAACACATTCCGGTATCCCTTTTTATTGCTTTTCTCTATATATTTAACATATTCTGGTATCCTTTATTTTATTACTTTCTCTCTATACGTTTAACATACATTCTGGTCCCTTTTTTTATTACTTTCTGCACGTTTAACAAACATTCTAGTATCCTCTTTTTATTACTTTCTCTCTGTACGTCTAACACAGTCTGGCATCTTTTTTTTTCCATTGTACGTCCAATACACATTCTGATATCACTTTCTGTATTGCTTTCTCTTCGCTTCTGCTATCGCTGCATATTTTAATCGGCTAATCTCAGTATTAAGATTTAAGTCAAGTGGTCAAGTGTTTTATTAACACAATTTTAAGAAGAGGGCTTATCTGGATTAGTAACCCCGGAAGGTTAATCCAGGAAAGCCGTCAGTGTGGCTTATTTCCAGTGGGCCAGATTGCTTAGTTTTCATGGGTAATCCAGGGTTATTAACCCCTGGGTATATAAACAACGGCAAAAACCGACAGGTCGGTAGCGGAGAATCCTTTTAATACGTTTCGCTCGGCTCTATCAACTATATACTTGGTAGACCATTATGTCTGACTCTTATTCAATGTCCTATAGATTATTGTTCCTCCTCAAGAGTAATAATCCTGTATATCATACTCCTTCATTACCAAAAATAAACTACAAGTTGATGAATGGTTCAGAGAACCGACAAGTTGATAAATTAGACACATGTGCAACATTTGGGCATCTTTAATGATACCCAAATTACAGATACCCAAATGTTGCACATGTATCTCATTTATCAAGCTACAAGTTACCAAGATAATGAAGAACAAGACACACATGTACAACACATGGGCATATTTATTTACGAATACGATTTTGCCAATCCGTAGATTTTTCAATATAATACATAGAAAAACTATTAAGAAAGCCAGTAGTCACCGAAATGTCTTCATAAATATGCTCAGGCGTTGTACATATGTCGGTACTGTATACTATTAACGTCATGGTTACTCAAAATAAGGTGGTTAGGCTCATCCTAGGTCTGTGTACTTACCTAATTGAGGTTGCAGGGGTCGAGTCCTAGCTCCTGGACCCAGTGCAAGATAACATGTTGGCTAAGATGAAATTCTAAAAGTGGAAGAGTGACACAACTAAGGCTAAATTATGACTACAAAATTGGTTATGAACCAAAATAATTATTTAGATCAGCAGGAAATTATGATAATTTCTGAGTAACCACTGTAGGTGACCAGGCGTCAAACAATCTTGAGGCAGGTGGAGACGGTGGGCATTGTTACCTTACACCTGTCCTTGTTCACCTAGAGGTAAATAGGTGCCTGAGTGTTAGTCAAATGTGGTGTGTCGCATCTTGGAGATTATTATTATTATAATAAAAAAGAAGCGCTAAGCCACAAGGGCTATACAGCGCTGCATCTTGGAGAAAAGGACTAATGGACCACAGGGTTAAAAAGCCTCGCTGACTAGCTTTCTGGGGTTTTTGTATTACTAAATCTTCTTCCTTTTCTTCTTCATATCAAGCTTAATAACTATATAAATCAGTTTAACGTAAGTAAATTTATTCAGTTATACAAAAATACAGTTATAGATTATCATATATAGCAGCATTTGTGTAGAGAACCTAGGATAACCCAAAAAAGTCAAAGGAAAATATTTTTTGTATAGTTAACAAAGTTCTATACTAAAAAGTCACTATTTTAGCATTGATCATACTAGCATACATGTATATATAAACTGTACAACATATACATATAAGCACTATATATCGTACAATTTTCGATGGTACTTTTTTAGTATTTTTTTTTGTATCACTTCAAGTTAAATATGCATAGTGTAAATATGTGCCAAAATAAAACAAACAATTGAGGATCCCAGAAGAAATGAGTCACACTGTATGATTTTTTATATATCTTACGTAAGGCCTTATTTAGATAAAGCTGCTTAGTTCTGATCTTCATATCACAGAAAGGACATAAATGTGATGATTGCTAGGTACTCATACCACTTCATACAAGAACTTGAAAATAACCGCAGGTTCAGAAAACATTAACAAACTTGATCCCTTTTATCAGAAATCTTTCCTATGAAGATAGACTGAAGGCACTAAATTTGCATTCTCCTGAAAGACGTTCAGTTATGGAAGGATATGACTGAAGTGCTCAGATGGAAAATCGGAATAAACAAACGTGACATAAATAACGTGCTAAAAGTATTTAACTAAGAGAATTCGCAACACTGGATTAAGCTTGACAAATCTCAACGTAGAGAGGCTATAGTGAAGTATTGGTTTGTTAACAGAGTTGTAGATGAGTGGAATAAGCTCCTAGGGAAGTCATTGGGGCAAGAACTTTGGTTAGTTTTGATTATTATTATAATCATGGGGGAAGAGCTAAACCCGGAGGATTATACAGCGCCTGGGGGGGGGATGTGGAAGGCATTCAGGCTTAATTCGGGGAACTGGAGCACAGATCCAATTCCCTAAATCAAGAGCCCCTCACCAACATCAAGGAACCTTCCTTGAGGGGTGGTTAGTTTTGAATATAGGTTGGGCGGGTATGTGACTGGGTGTGGTTTGGTGTCAGATATGCCTAGCATGGGCAGGATCAGATATATTCCGTCTGTAAATGTAGCATAGTTCCCCCTATGAAAATGACGAGCTTCGTTTTTTCTTGTACTATTTTGTGAATAAAAACGAATCATATATGTGCTAAAAAAAATAAAACACTGGTTGAATATATTTACTTTTTACAGTGAAACTTGTTACGAAAACCTTCTCTAGATTTCCGATGCTCAGTGTGAAAACAATAACTTGGACGTGAACACCATGAAAGAAAGAGTGGGTAATGAAAGCAAATATGAGATTATATCATATACATACCAGCGATATGCGCGTTAATTTATATCTATAAATACTTAGCAAAGCCAAGCAGTGAGGCTTATTTCCACTGGAGTCCTCTAGTGTTCTTCCCAGCGACCAGGTACTTGTTTCTTTCTGGGTGAACAGGGGCAACAGGTGTAAAAAAAAAAAAAAGCACACCCGCTCTAGGATCAAACCCTGGTCTGTTGGTTGGGAACCAAAGGTGCTATCACTGAGTTATGAACCATAAAAAAATCATTTGTCACCATCATATGCTTATAATAATATTTAGTAGTTACTGCAGCCATTGCAGAAGGATATCAATTAACAAAACAAAGTATATTTAACCTGGCTGTAGGAATTAACCAAGTAATGAATTAATAAATTTGGAAACTGCAAATAACAAGAAAAAATATGAATACAATATTTTATAGTATCAGTCATAAATATAATTTAAAACATTATTCATATAAAAATGATAAAATATATTTACGCAGTAAAACACTTCTTGGATGCTGTCCATCTTGCCAATCACTGGTGATTTATAGTTTATTTTTGTGTGTCAACCCCGATGTTTTATAAACCCTACTACATAGTTTATTGACTGCCGGAGTTTATTCAACTTATGGTTAAGCAACACTGCACAAGCTATGAATTAACTCTACAAAATTACAGCCATATAAAATAGCATTATTTTCATACATCTTTTTACATATTACAGCTACGCCTATATTTACAGTCTTCTAAAAAAAAGTAATAGGGAGTTTCCCGTTCAAATCTTGATGATAAGAGCATCTATTTCGTAGCTGATATTAGTAAACCTCAATAAATTTACGTAGATGTATTTTTCGTTAGCCATGTGCGTAGAGTAGAGGTTTGTTGAGCTGGTAATGGTTGTTGGAGGAGTGTTTTAAGTGTTAGTTAGTGAGTCTTGTGGAACCTAGTGCTTACCATCTTCCTCCGTTTTCTATTGCTCACCTATTTTGAAAACCCCTGTAGAAAACGACAATTTCCTCATTGGACTCTTGTTCTCTATTTTAGATCAGTGTGGTGAGTATGATGCCGAGAAATCACCACACGGACTCGGATTTGTGGGTGGAAGATGCAGAGAAGGATGATGGTGAGGGGACGAGGCCACCTGAAGGGAATATAAAAGACCATGTTTGAATCTGGCGCCATTTTGGTCCGCCATCTTTGTTTTTGCGGGTCCCGGATGCATTTCTTGTTTCTTGTTGTTTGTCACACCGAAGGGCCACGCGTTCCCGCCATAAATTTACACAATGTCTGATAACGCTGTAAGTACGCCATTTTCTCGCCTGCGGTGTGTATGTGAGGCTTCATGAGATACTCTTCTATCATTGGGAGGATATAGTTGAGATGTAATAAGCTTATTATAGGTAAATAAGTGACTTATTTCTTCTTCCATTCAGGACGCCAAGCCAGAGGGTGAGGGGAACGAGTACATCAAACTTAAAGTCGTAGGCCAGGTAAGTTCCTTAATATTGTGGTGTCAGGGTGAGGTGCGCAGGTTTTCAATGTGATGGTAATGATAGCAAAGTTTAAGTTCAGCTCTGGCACGCCACTTAAGTCTTGCTTCAATACATGTTATTTTCAAATTTGTCTCTGTTTTTTGCTAATTGCTGTGCTAATAACTTGACGTTGAGTATGTATATCTGTTAATTTTGCTGTTTGTATCTTTAGTTGCTGTGTGTTTTCAACACTTCAGCTAACCCTAAGTGGCAGAAGACTTAAAAACTTTCTTCAGTTGCATTAAGTTAGGCTAGGGATTGAAATTTAGTATGTCCTACTAACTATTAATTACCTCTATTGCATGGTGCTATCTTAAGAGATGCAACAAGTAGCATAATATCCAAGTGTTGCACAAGTGTCTTGCTCATTAAATAACATAAAAAAAGAGGAGCACTAATAGTCCTACTGGACCATGATGGGCATTTTATATTCACACATTCATTTCTCTAACTTGTTTTTAGAGCAGCCCAAAGTATTTGCTTCAGTCACACTACATGGCACTTTATTCCACTTGAATGCAACTATTCCCAATCCTGTTTTTTTATACCCCTTCTAAATCTATAACTATCCAACTAGAGTGCTGCGAGTACTGACTTTGATAAATGTTTATTTTTCATTTGTATGTAGCAGGGTGGTAGATAGCAGTTATCCAGGAAAGCACAACTATCCTGTCTTGTAAATATGAAATGGAAGTCTGTTAAATGTTTTGTACTCTTGTATTTGTTTCATGAACATGTAAGGGAGGTTCCTTGACGGTGAGAGGCTCTTGATCTCGGGAATTGGATCTGTGATTCGGTTTCCTGAATTGAGCCTGAATACCTTCCATCCTCCCCACATGCGCCGTATAATCGTATGGGTTTAGCGCTCATCCATGATTATAATAATACGTAAACGACATAATTGATGTAATAAATAGGACAAATTTGCGAGACAAAAAACTTGGCCATCAATAAATTTCTGGGGACACTAGGGGGGTTACAGGATAATCCAAATTGGTTGAATGTTGAAGTGGCAGATGCAGGTTGAAAAATGCAAGGTTCTAAACCTGGGAACATAAAATGACCATGGCACCTATAAACTAAGTAATATAGGTCTTAAGTTTTACAAAGTTTTGAACCAATGTTAATGAAGATGGGACACCATAATCATAGATCTGCTCTTTTAGCTACAAACTCACAATGTAGGGGTTCAGCTGTTTGATTAACTTTTTCACTGTCTCACATAGGTCATATCATTGATGCTATAGTTGCTCGCATAGATTTACAATTTAAGCACAGCTCCCTCATGTATGCTGTGAGCAGTAAATGTTCACCCAGACATGAGAGGATGTTTGTGAAGTGAGTGTGCATTGCATGATGGAAAAAAAAAAAACTGTCTTTGGTTTAAGATAGCTAGTGAAATACATTATTTTGGTTGAAATAGTCCTTAAAGTAGGGAAGATGATATTTTATTTTTCTGAGGAAGTGCATGCCCCCTCCCCCCATTAGTTTTATTATTGATTTTTCTAGGTGTACTTCAGTTATTGGGTGGCCTAAACCATGATCAATTCTTGGTTATATTTTATTATGCTGAGAAATAGGGTAAAACTTTGATTTTTGTGTGTGATGGATTAAAAATGGGGGAAAAAGTATTACATAGGAGAGGCCTGGGAATGTGATTAATGAACAAAGGAAAGGTTGCTTTAGTGGCTGGAATATGTATTGGGCTTATTTTGGACTGCTTTTAAACTGACTTTTATTAATTTTTGTAAAATTTGCCAAATTATTGACTTTAGGGTAGTTCTAATAGATGAATGAGTGATTTGTGTTCTGTGGAAAGAATGGAAGGCATGCTAGCAGAATAATGGAATTTGGCTGAATTGAGCATTGGAATTGATTTAAAAAAGGTCTTGGTGGGTGAAATGGCCAATATGTAAATTACACCCAGATGGCCTATCTTGTTGTGCCTTCGTAATCTCATTAATTTTCCATCAGATATTTGCATTTTTGGTGTCGTTACCTTCAGAAAAAAATTCTCTACCATTTTTATTTTTTTAATGCACGATATTGTCTTCACTTAATTTCAGGGGTCTCAGTAGTGACGTTCTATGGACCTCTATAAGGCCTTTGATAAGAATTTCATGACAAAAATATATAGGTGGCATGATATTTGGAGGAAGATTCTCTCCTGAATTGAGGCACGAGCGATTGATAGGCAATGGTGTGGACATGGTGGTCACCCTATCTTTGCGAGTGGGATTTCACAGGAGTCTGTATTGGGTTCCTTGTTCACAATCAACATAAGAATAAATATATGTTCAAGTAGATGATGGTATAAATGGTGAAGTAAATATTGCATTTAACAAAATGCAAAGTACAGGATTTGTTTACAAGCTTTTATGTAAACACTGTAAAGTTTTATATTTCCTCGACAGGATTCCAATGAAATCCATTTTCGTGTGAAAATGACTACACAAATGGGCAAGCTAAAGAAATCGTACAGTGAACGTGTGGGTGTTCCAGTAGCATCACTTCGCTTTCTCTTTGATGGACGACGTATAAATGATGAAGAAACTCCCAAAGCGGTAAGTCATTTTAAATGTAACTTGGATTAGTCATTAAATTTAATCAGCATTGCAGTTCATAACTATTACAGTATACAAAACTTTATTGTTTATGGTTAAATTTCCTGTTTCTTCTATTACAGTAAACTCTTAATGTAATGGACCTCATTGCAATGAACTCTTAATTGGCAAAATCCACTGGGTAAATTGTACTCTGAACTTCATTATTTTTAAATGTTTATTGGTTGGTAAATTGTGTGCATAGTATTATACACACTAGGTGTATTAGGTATACAGTGGAGTACATAAGTCCTTTTCTCTCATTTTTAACATTGTTCAAATTTAACAAACACCTTCCTCCCCTTACCCCTATTAATCCATTATCTTGAGGGCTTATTTTGTCTATCCTTCCATCTTAATGATGGAAATATGTTTCGCTTACATTATCTCCCAACTGTTCTATAATCAGTATTAAGTCCTATTCATGTTAAACATAGCAATTGTTTTAAGATTTAACAAGGTTTTAACTTCAAAAAATTAACCCCAGAAATCATATCTTTTTTGGGAAGAAATAAACTTGGAGTTTGAAGGGATATGTTGTGTATCTTTATACGTATATGCTTCTAAACTGTTGTATTCTGAGCACCTCTGCAAAAACAGTGATAATGTGTGAGTGTGGTGAAAGTGTTGAATGATGATGAAAGTATTTTCTTTTTGGGGATTTTTTCTTTTTTGGGTCACCCTGCCTCGGTGGGAGACGGCCGACTTGTTGAAAAAAAAAAAAAAGTACAGTACAGTACTATGCTGTATAGCAATTTCAAAGCATGTTTATTATTTGTCGACTATACTTCATATTCTATATTCTGAATCTTTTTTATAGCAGCATTTGCAGTTACACACTTCTAACAAGATGCCTAAGAAAATGTGTAGCATATCACAGGAAGCCTAACATAATGAATTTTTGAGATTTAAAATGTGATTACAATGTTGAGTTGGCACTTCGCGTACCAAAAATGAAGTCGAGTCTAAAGAAAATTAATTTTTAGAACAGTCATAAAATAGCCACAAATTTGGAATTTTTACACATGATTTACAGTGCTATTTTCAGATGAACAAAAAAAAAGTTGATTACAGTCGTATGTTAACCTACGATTTCCCAATTTTTAATCCTATTAAATGAACATAAATCTTGTATGTACTTAGCCCTTTCAGGGTTTCGGCTGTACTAGTACGGCTTACATACCAGGGTTTTTGACGTACTAGTACGCCTAAATTCTAGCGCCCTCAAATCTAGTGAGAGAAAGCTGGTAGGCCTATATATGAAAGAATGGGTCTATGTGGTCAGTGTGTGCAGTATAAAAAAAATCCTGCAGCACACAGTGCATAATGAGAAAAAAAAACTGACCGTGTTTTTAGATTAAAACAGCGACTTTGCACTGTATTTTTGTATGGTATTTATTGTTGTATTCTAGTTTTTCTGGTCTCATTCTATAGAATGGAAGACATATTGCAGAAATTGAGATGATTTTGACTGATTTTACAATGAAAAGTACCTTGAAATTGAGCTCAAAGTAGCAGAAATGTTCGATTTTTACCAAAGTTCAAAAGTAAACAAATCATGCTAAGCGTCCAATACACGTCAACTGGTGAGTCTAATATTGTTTCACAAGTGCGCCGATATTATTTATACCATTTTTTACACTAATGCAATAGTCTGCATAACTAAATCTATTTTTTGTGAAAATAAAAATTTAAAGTGGAAAGCAAAAGAATGTAAGAGGGGCGTTGGGACGTGACTAATGAACAGAGGAAATGTCATTTTAGTGCCAGGAATGTCTTTCTTGTTTATTCTGGACCCTATTTGGAAATTGGCATCTTTTGAAATTTGTGTGAAATTGGCAAAATTGCTAAATTTTGACCACTGTATTGGATACTTGAAATTGGTAATTGGGTGGTTTCTTGCACTCATTCGATAGAAAAAATGGAGTTCTAGCGAAATATTCATGATTTTCGTCGACTAGTACAGTGGAATTGGCCGAAAATAGGGCTCAAAGTGGGCAAAATCACCGATGCGTAAACATCGTTGAGACCGCTAAATTCACGAGAGCATAATTCCGTAAGTTTTCCACCAAATTTCACACTTTTGGTAACAGGAAAATACAAGTATGAGAGAGTCATAGAAAAAATGAGTATTGAACTTCGTCGAACATCTAATTGGGAAAAGAAATGGAGAATTACGACTAATCCTGACAAGGTCCTTGTTAGCACGATAGGATGTTTTGCATCAACAATTGAAGATAAAGGGGGTATCTCCATCAGAGGTACACCTGTAGCCATTAGAAACCCTAACAAGATCTTGGGATATGAAATAGACAGGCTGCTCCACTCAACATCTCATGTAAATAAAAAGATCAACATAGCCAAAGCCAGTCTTAGCAGTCTCTTTCGATTCAATGAAGCCCCTCAACATGTTAAAAAACATCTGTATAAAATGATAATAAGACCAATACTCGAATACCCTTGTGTCCCAATGTCATTAACAACAAAGACCAACGTGCTACGGCTACAAAGGGTCCAGAATAGAGCTCTTCGCTTCATTACCGATACCAGGAGGAGAGACAGAGTTAAAATGGCAGATTTACACATACAAGATATTACTGCCATAAATGTACGCCTCGACACTCTAAAAAAGAAACAACTCTATTCAATGCAAGAACTATACATGCCAGATAGAGAACATCCTATATAAGTGGTAAATACCACGGATTATATAATCAATACTCCTCCTCACAGGACTCAAAGAATGACTCTCCCACAGAGGGTCCGTCGTTTTATACATAAAGATGATTACCATCGACCCATGATATTGAGCAACCTCCCTGATGAAGAAGATTGGGTAGCACCAGAACCCTTCTATGTATACTAAGAAAATCATCGCCCCCAATTAGGGAGACATCTTATATAACAATCTAATGTAAAAATTATGCTACTTACCATGGCTGGACACCACCTGTAAGAAGCCATTGTCGCGTAATTCCATAAACTGGCCAGAAAATTATTACCTTCATTGTCGTATAAATATCCGTTGTGCAATCGCAAAAAAAAAAAAAAAAAAACAATTGCAACTTGTATAATTACCAATTCAGAGTCATGTACTTATATTCTGTTATATCTATGTGACTCTGATGGGTTAGTCTTATACCTCTTAAAGAATATCTTATCATTTCACGTACACTTTTTAAATTACACCAAAGTGGTTGGGCCACTTACCTTTTATACCCTACCTCTTTCCCTCCTCCCACCCTTTTCCAAAATTTCTATCCTTACCCATCCTTCTTCCTTACCCATCTCACCAAAGCTCTGGTCTGGATACCGAATACCGGTGTCATTATGATCGGGAAAACATTCTCTATCTTTTCATAAGAAAAAAAAATAATTTTTTTTTTTTTAAATTTGGGCAACCCTGAGAACAAGTCTGAGAGGGCCTGTCGACCCTGAAAGGGTTAAAACTCGAAATTCATACTTAGCCATAATTTGCTAACACTCCAGTTTTATTTTACACTGGACAAGAAAAAAGTTTCTAATGCTGATGTACATTAAATGCATATGTCATTGATTAACTTTGAGTGCTCTACACTGATTGACCCAGTTTGTCAGGGTTTTAGTTTCAGAAAAATTTCTTTTTCAGGCCTTGTTTTATAAAATATATGCACAGTACGCTGTACAATTGATGTATGTGCATCTTGTTTAAAATGGGGAAAATATATTTCCATTTTTTCTGTAACTCATAATCCTTAAATGATGGGTAAATTCTGATTTCTTATTCAAAACTGGCATACTTTACCTCGGGAAATATTTTTGTCGTCCACTGCTAATGATCAAGCAGTCCTTTAATTCCCTGATGTGCCAAGTTCTTGCAGTAATTTTACTACCATCCTGCACCCAAATATTGAAAGAAAATGCTTGCTACTCTAGCATTTTCTTAGTTCTTAGTTGTATGAATGTTAATTGGTATAGTTTGTGAACTCTGGTAGCTCAAATCGTAACTCAAATTTAGATGCTTAATTCGGCACCATGTTATGGAACGCTCCTTAATTCATAGATATGTATATGTTATGGGATGTCTTTATTGGTTTTGTAATGAATGGAATTACAACAATATTTGTTGAAATATTGAAATTGGGTCTCATAGACCAAACTTCCAGAGATTGCCTTTTATTTTAACATGTAATTTTATTATTTTTTCCATTTCTGAAACTGAAGTTATGTAAATGCCAAGTCTTCCTTTTATATCTTCATATCTTCCTTCTCTCCAAGTTTTGGGATGATGTCAGCTCTGACTGTTGAACCATAAGGTAGCTGCCACTTTTATTTAGGAGGCCCAAGTAGTAATAAAATATATACTGTACATTGGGTGGCTGATTAAATGGTTGGTTCTTCAAAACATACATTTAGTATAAAATGATAAAAAAATAGTTTTTCCTTGTTGAAACTCTGAATTTGCAGTATGGCTTTAGAACAGTGCTAGCTTAATCAATTGTGGGGGTTCTTTCCTATTTTTTTACTGCTTGATCTCAGCATTCCTGTGTGCCTTTTTTTTTTTTTTCTCTTCAAATTTTAAATTTTGCTGAGGCTTAGAAAGACTTACATATGTTCTATACTTATAAAAATTCTTCAGATTTTTCCAGTTGAGCATTTTGTACTTGGTTCTTCGGGAATGGAGATTGTCATATTTGGGGTACTTGTTTAATAATGGAAACCTGCAATTTGTAAATTTCTCCAGAATAATTTTTTTTTTTTCAGCTGGAAATGGAAAATGACGACGTAATTGAAGTTTACCAGGAACAAACCGGAGGCCATTGATGTAACACATTCCCACGAGTGTAGGACTAAGACTATGTTAGGTTAAGGAAGTTTATTTTTTGCCACACATGTACCTTTATTTTTTCTGATTGAAAAAATTTTGCACAGACCCAGCTATGTGCATCAGTGGTTTTTAGGTAAATTTTGTACAAGTCTCCTACAGTGTATTGGTGACTTAAGAATTAAGAAGAGATTGCCTTGATTGTGATACTTTCCTGAGTGGATGGTACAAGTATGCTTTTAATTTTAATCCTCCAAATATGTTAAAATTTAATTAAGATTTATCAGTTTTATCCAGGCTTAAGCATTGGATGTTAATTTGTTATACTGTAAATTTAGAAGTGAATGTTTTTGATGGGCCATCTATAGCTCAAACAGGTTTTATCACAAATCATTTAAAGTTTTTTTTGACTTGAGAAAGACCTTGTAAACAGTGCAAGGTTTACAATTAGCTAATAGATAACCTTTCCTGTGTATGGTTTTTGTGTATTAGATGCAGCTGGACATCTTAATTGCTGTGAAAGGAAATAGACTCTATGAGTTTTATGTGTAATTCTTATTCAAATACATTCTGAATTTGCCCCATGAGCAAGTTTTCATTTTCTTTCTATGAGGTTAAGCTAATATGAACAATTTGAGACTTGAATGTGCCATTGAGACATAAATGATTTTCACAACATTGAATAAGAAAGACGAAACAATTGGACAAACTCGGTGGGAAATGATGAAACCCAAGTTTGTGTGTATAAGGCGAATCCTTTGTGGCAATCAAATTAGTTTCGGAAATGTATATACAGTAGTTAAAATCATTTTCTAATGGTATTTAGTAGATTCTACACCAAGTCTAGTATAAAGGAACTGGTGTTCATTGCATGCAATACATTGTCAATACCACACCATAACTAATCTGGAACTAGAAAGTAAATTTTATAATATCTTGCCAAAGCATTTCTGACCTTAAATTACCTACATGGCTATACACTATATAGTTTACCATATATTACATTATATTCAAACTTGATATTCTTATTTTTCTCATGACTTGAGTTTTCCCAGTGTTAGCTGATCATCCATGCTATTCGTTTCCCAATGAGAAGGGGGGGGGGGTAAATGTGTAAGGAGTATGGGGGGACTGAATTGGTATCTTTGCAGTTAGACACACCTGCTCAGTCTTGAATTCTCGACTTTTTTTTTTTTTTTTTTTTTTTTTTTTTTTTTTTTTTTTTTTTCTAACTAATGTATTATTCTTTCTGCCAATACTACCATTTACTTCTTATGAAGTTTACCCTATAGTAAAACAGATTCTTTAAAAGAAATTATCCTCATTGGCATCTGTACTCCATCTTGCTGATTTGAAATAGCAGGAACACAAGATTATTCTTAAGACCTTTTTTTTTTTTATAACATGCCTACATAATCCTGTAGAAAATGCAAGAAATATTGGGCATTTTCCTATTGCCTATTAACATGTAGGTTGGCTGGTTAAACTCTCTTGCCAATTTTACTTTTAGTTCACACTTCAATTCACTTCTTGTGTTTTTTAATAATTTTTAGTCCAGCAATATTTCCTTCCTTATTTAGGAGCCTTGGTTTAAGACTGGCTTAGTGTTGATCTCCAGAATTGCTGTAATATTGGTAACATGTACAGATACTTCATTAATATTCTTGTACATAGACTTTATTCCCCTCTCGTATAAGATAACCCAAACTATTGTCCCTCACTCAGCCCTAATGCATACCATTTAGCAATCTAGTAAGATTTAAGATGGTATTATTAGTTCATTTTTATTCAACAGATCTTTGGGGAAACTTTAAAGAAGCTTATACTTTTTCCAAAAGTTGGATGTGTATAGTTGAGCCTCAGAATTCATGTGCTTTATGTCTGATTTGATTATTGCTGGCTATTAGGCGAATTGCTTTGATTTTCACATTTTTCCATCACCTAGTGGAAAGCTTCTAAACTGAGAGATAACCATGGGATTTCATTGAAAATGACATAAGGAGATCGAGCAATATGTAAAGGTATATAGCTTTTTTTTCTTTTCTTTTCTTCCCAACGTGCAGAATTCCCTATTATCTGAAACTTCAGGATTCACATCTTCCGTAACCTGTTCACCTATATTCATTAAAGTAATTTATGGTGCAATTAGCTGAAAAAATTTCTCTTGCTCTAAAACTATAAATGTTGTTTCTTACCTTCTACTCTAGATTCATACAAAACTAGATTTGCAATTATCTAAGTTTTGTGATAAATAGTTGAAATTTAAAATCTATTATGTACTTTCAACATTGAATTTTGTTTCTAATCTTTCCAGGGTATCAAAATTCATAAAATAATTTCCTTCTGAATGCTATAAAACTCATCATGGAACACAAAGAATTAGTTAGCGAGAGGTGTTCAGCATCTCATGAAGTATAATATTTATTTGCGCATTGGTTGCTCAGGAACGTAAAATATATTGAAAGTTACACTAGTCAAAACTGACGGTAGTTTGGCAAAAAAAAAAAAAAAACTATACTGTCATAGTAAATTTATTCATAATTCGTCTAATTGTGCACATGTGGTGGAAAAGCATTCTGATGAATCATGATTAGGGTGAATGGATTTGCAGTAGGTGTAACTTCAGCATTTAGAAAGAGGGAGCATTAATATGTAATAAGGTATGATAATAGGCATGTTACAGTAAGACATGGTAAAAGGCAGTAACAACTGTAACCGAAGAATCTGATTGGGGGGGTTGCTTGATGAACAGTTGGCTGGTAATGCGAAGGAAATCGAAGCTCTAACTAAAAATATATATATATATATAACTTCTGTATAAATGTAAATAAAGGCACATCTTAATTTTGCTTCTTATTTCTGCCACCGGATGTTATTAGCATTCAGCAAATTTACGAGTCGTCAAAAATCGCCTGGTGTGCGAGGAATTGACAGGATCACGTATCGTAGCATAGAGAGAGCTTACACGCTAGATAACTACAGAAGCTTGCAAATTCCTAGTGTGAACTAGAATGTCTTCACCTTTAATGACCCTTTTGGATTTAGTGCTAACTCTTAATATTGTAATGTCTAAAACTACTGTTAGTGATGTTTAGCAACTGAAACATTTTTGATTGTCCTCTATAGTACTGTGAATAGTTTATTTTGTAAAGCATTTGATTTTTGAACAATTTTTGATCGTATTGACTAAACTTGCAATACTTAAAGATGAAATAATTGCAAAATGACTAATTCTTGTTGAATTGCAGTATAAAGTATAATTGTCCACTAGACAAATTCATAATCTTGACACATTTTATAAATTTGTACGAACAAAATGCTATGAAATTTAATTTTGTATTGTTTTGATGCTGGTAAAGGTATCTTTATCCAAGGCATTGGAGCAACCCTCCCTTTCATGAGCCAAACATGATTACCTCTTATTTTCCAGTGCTATATGACAGGTTTATAGCATCCCTATGAATATATAAACTATCACATGGTCTCTCATCTTTGTTCTTCCTGTTTTCCCACTAAAGGTTAATAAAAAAAATGTTAGTCAAGTTGAAAGAACCTAAATAAGATATGTAATTAAACAGAGGAGTTAACAATGAGTGTGACATGATCTAACATCAGAATATGATATACAAATGAAGTGATAATTGAAGTGAGGGAAATACGACAAGCTTGTGTGAAGCTTGTCATGTTTCAATATAATAGTAAGGTTGCATTATCTATAATACATCAATCAATCTTCCCACCATGGGACTGTCCTGTAGTTCTGCCCATCCCCCACTTTCCAACTAATATATTCAACTAGGTGTCTATCAGTCATGGGATCTGAGAAAGGTATCCCGATGTCCTGTAATTCCAGCCATGTCTACCTCTTCATATAAAAGGAACAGTACACCTTGCAGCATATTGTCTTAAGTATTGTATGATACTGCAGCATTTAAAGACTAAAGCTGATCACTTCGGACAAGCTGATTCAACACTTCCTGCATGGATACTTTTTTTTTTTTTTCAACAAGTTGGCTGGCTCCCACCAAGGCAGGGTGACCCAAAAAGAAAGAAAAAAAAATCCACAAAGAAAATACTTTCATCATTCAACACTTTCACCTCACTCGTACATAATCATTGTTTTTGCAGAGGCGCCCAGATACAGCAGTTTAGAAGCATATATAAAGATATATAACATATCCCTCCAAACTGACAATATCCCAAACCCTTCCTTTGTAGTGCAGGCATTGTACTTCCCATTTCCAGTACTCAAAGTCCGGCTATATAAAAATAACCGGTTTCCCTGAATCCCTTCACTAAATATTACCCTGCTCACACTCCAATAGCTCGTCAGGTCCCAAAAACCATTTGTCTCCATTCACTCCTATCTAACAAGTAATCTCAGACTCCAACAATTCCAAAGTTTATCTTAATAATTTGGTAAATTTCCATCTACACAGGCTAAACATGAAAATTATCCTTTTCACAAGATTCATCAGCCATTAAAGATAATGCCATTCAGAGCAGGCATGCTAGAGTTATTTTAAAGTACACCATACAATTTTAAAAACTAAATTGGCACCTACACACACTTAACAATCCCAACCAGTGCTGAAAGATGAAAACTGATTGGTGAAGGCAAGCTCAACTTCTCACCCATCAAGTTCTTAAATGCTGGTGAGGGAGCTCTGGTTCCAAGGAATTTTAAGTATACTCCCTTGTATTGAACCTGATTGCCTCCCATTCCCCAGGCTGTGTGTGATCCCTGTGGGTTTAGCGGTTCCCTTAAAATAGTAAATTATTGCACAGAAACCAGTATGGGAATTATCTGCTATAATACAAAATTTACCAAAGTTCACCTGCAAATGCCAATAGTTTCATGAACTTTTCTATGGTAATAGTTTGTACATATTGATAATTTGAAGTAGACTGGATGAAGCATTCAAAAGTTACGAGCAAAAACCTTCAAGGAAGAAAACTACACGAGTGTGTATGCTGGTTTCAGAATAAAACTGAAAATATGAAAGTTAAGGGCTCACTAAACTCTCAAAACTTGATTGGTCTGATCTGCTATGTAACAAATTACATTCTATTAAACCAGGTGTAGGTTTCTGGCCATCATCTTGTCATCAGCGTCAAGGTTGGGAGACTACTCTCTCCCTTCACATCGGCCACCCTCATCTTCCTCATGGGTATCTCGTGGAGGGGTGCCCTGTTCCAGTCTGAGAATTGTCAGGTTCCAGTTTCTGTTAGTCATATTCTGTTGGACTGCCCACTCTATCAACAAGCACACAGAATTTACCTCCAACGTTGTCACCACTCTACTGCCCTTATTCTACCTTCCTTTCTTGCTGATGGACCTTCCTTTAACCCAGACTCTCTGACTTTTTGACAGCAACTGATTTACTGCACAAACTGATAATGATGCCTCTAGCACTCCTCACAGCCCTTTCTACCTCAATCTCTTGCTACCCTCTACCCCTGCACTATCCACTGCACTCCTTAACCCTTTCAGGGTCCGTCCCGTAGATCTACGGCTTTACGGTGAGTGTCCAAACCGTAGATCTATGCCATGAGCTCAGCTCACTCTGATAAACTATGAGTGGTACATTTGGGCCTAGATATGAGAGAATACATCTATGTGGTATGTGTGCACCACATAAAACAGATCCTGCAGCACACTGTGTATAATGAGAGAAAAAAACTAAAATCATGATTTTTCGATTAAAACAGCAACTTTGCAGTGTTTTTTCGTATGTTTTTTATAGTTGTATTTGCGATTTCTTGGTCTCATTTGATAGAATGGAAGACATATTACAGAAATAGAGATGATTTTGATTGGTTTTAGCACTGGAAATGGCTTGAAACTGAGCTCAAAGTAGCGGAAATGTTAAATTTTTTGCCGATATTCAAGAGTAAACAAACGATCTCACACGTCTAATACACGTCAGCTGGTGGGTCTAATATACATTCACAAATATGGTGATGATATTTATACAATTATTACAGTATTGCATAACAGTAAATCTTCTATTTTTTGGTGTGAATAAAAATTCATTATGTGAATAAAAAATCAAAATGGAATTTATTTGTAAAGCCTCAAAACATAACTAATGAACAGAGGAAATGTTAGTTTAGTGCCAGGAATGCCTACATTGTTTATTCTGGACCCTATTTTGAAATTGGAATATTTTGAACTTTGTGTTAAATTGGCCAAATTAACAATTTCCGATCACTTTATTTTGTAGTTGAAACAGTTGACTTGGCGATTTCTTGTGCTCAATCGATAGAATAGAAGTAATACTAGTGAAATAGCTAAGAATTTGGTTGATTGGAATAATGTAATTGGCCTAAATAAATATCGCTGACACATCAAAATTCGCGAGAGCATAATTTCGTCAATTTTCCACCAAATTTCGTACTTTTTGTTTTATTACCTTCACAAAAAGATTCTCTACCATTTCATAAGAAAAAATAACAAATTTTTTTTTTGAAAATTCCTGGACACTGGTGCGTGACTCCAGATTTGGGCCTTGGACCCTGAAAGGGTTAACCTAATCCATGTCTCTCTTGCTGTCCAATATCCCTGCACCCTTCCCTGCCCTGGTGTGGTATATTACCCTTGTAGGTTTAGTGCATCTTTTTTATTATAATAATCTCAAAACTCGAAAAGACATTAAAAGGATTTCTGAATGCTTTACAATATTTCTGTTTTCTCATTTGTTGCTTCAAATTCTCTTAAAAATTTACTTTGAAGAAACCAGTAAATGCAACACTAATAATAATAGGCTAATATCTAATAGAACTAGCACATTACAATACACAGCCCAAAAGCAATACAAGCATAATGCCCATTATTTCTCAAAGATTGAGGCTGACCAGGAAGGTATTCTTCACTTAACTGCATCTACTAATCTTAGACTTGTTGGGTACCAGTTCGTCTGTAAGATATATCAGCCTTTAAAGAGTGAAGCTATTCAGAAGGGGGTATACTAAAGTTTGACACCATATTATTAGCTCTTCTTTTTTCATAATAATAATTCATTCACACCAAATTAAAATTGGCAAATCGTTGCTTAAACCCAACAACAATCCAAGCTTAAGTACGATACACCAGTACTGAAAGTTTGATGATTTAACCCTTAAACTGTCCAAACGTAGATCTATGTTTGCGCGTGTAGCGCTCTGACACTGATTTTCTCCGTAAGAAACAATGTAAAAAAAAAACGTAGATCTACGTTCAGAGCGCTACGCGAGCAAACGTATATTACGTTTGGACAGTTTAAGGGTTAATGATGCTCTCTAACGTTAAAGCATGAAAATAAAATTTGCAAAAGGTCTATAACATTGACCAGAGGGCAGCTGCATATGCCAGTAGTTGCATGAACTTTTTCTAGGTACAGTACACCAGCGTTAGAAAATTTGTAGCCGAGTGGACAAGGTATTCTTGAATTACAGTGGAACCTCGTTTTTTGGCCGCTGCGTTTATCAGCCGATTTGTATTTAGGCTGGTTTTTCAGTGGAAATTTTGCTCGATATTTCGGCCATTGCCATATTAGACTCATCAGCCCGGGACGCCATGCATAGGTGAGTCAGTCTCCCTTTGTCTGTCGGCGAATGAACATGTACTCCGTGCATTCATCCAAACATTTCCTTAAAATCCATTGTTTTTGGTGTTTTTTATTAAGTGACTGAAATAAGTCACCGCGATGTATGGCAAAAACAAATCAACAATCACTTCTATCCTGGCAAAGAAAGAACAAATCAAGGAAGCTGATGTGGCTTGTTTATTAAGTGCGACTGTGAAATAAGCCACCATGGAAAGGGAGTGAAGCAGGCAGGCAGGGAGTGTAGCACTGAAACAG